GCAATTGGAATGCTTCTTTTCATGCCGCTAATATATATTTCAAAGTTACCTTAAAAATTGAAATAATTCGAAAATATTTACATGCATTTAAATTCAAGGTATCTGAAACACTGTTCTTTGGAATTCTGGACACTGTCTGAAAATGTTTTGAAATATGGAATTTCATTAAATCTGACTTTTACTGCGGAACGTAAATCCGATATTTTGCTTAATTTTGTAGAAAGAGTTTAAAAAATTCAGATTTTTAATGTTTGACCAATTTCAGTCGCAGAACGAAGTTTTCTTTATAACTTCCTATTATTTCTGCATTTCAAGATAAATCTGACATTAGAAAAATAAATAAAAAAATTAAATTGAAATATTTATTTATTAAGAAATAAAAAAAAAATTCAGTGCAGTTTGGCTGCTAATATTGTCGATTACTTTAGTCTAACGATACTTATTAAATTAATAAATGAGACGGCACGCTTGAAATTGACAGACTAGAAGTTTCTTTTTAGGCATAAACATTTTATTTTAATGATTTGCAAAAAACCGCTTTATTACGACTCATTTCTTTCAAAAAAATTTTAAAATTACTGTTCTAATCACAGTCCGAGGCGTTGCTACTCTTTTTCAAACAAAAGTATTTACTGAAGTAATTTACTTACAATAAATGGCGCAACAAATATATTATCCAACTAACCGAACTAAAAATAAACCAATAGGGAAAAGAGGAACAACAACTATATAATCCCCTGTTAAACAAATTAGAAACGATTTAACCAGTAAAAGACAACCACGCACTTAAAAGTAAAAGAAAATTAGAATTTAAATCATAAATTTTCTTTTATGAACAGTCTGCTTTACTAATAAGCAGCAGAGGAAGCTTTCATGCAAATTAAATATATAAACTTTTATAGGCCGTTTTTCAGTCAATACAAAATATAGTCAACTCAAGAGAAAACAGGATGTATATTCAAATACCAGCATAATGTCGTCATCAGAAGATACAGAAGTGCACCCAAAATACGAGAAGTCAGCAAGTGCAGAAAACGTAAGAAAAAAAGGCGCATTTCCAAGGTTTCTTCTGCAAGTGAAAGTGAAATTGTGCGTAAAGTATGGCTACAAGAAAACATCAAGACGAATTTAAATGTTTTAGAATGATCGGCAAGTTTCAGGAGGTCGTAGTTTGATTCTGTCGCCCAAGAGTTTGGAATTGATAAAAGTGTTGCTTCAAAAGCTTGGAAAGTTCGAAAATGAGAAGTTCATATATAAGAAAGGTTGCTGGCAGTTGTCCAAGAAAACCAACAGTGCTAATAATGTCTAATATATCGCCTTGCATCCAAAACGAATTCGAAAGCAGACAGCGGACAACACTGCTCAGCAGCTGAGCACGACAACCGGACGTCAGGTCTCCCAGTTTACTGTAGGGATACGAGTTAATAAACAAGGCCTATTCACATATTTCCACAGACGCACGTCGCTTTGAATGCTTCATATCATCATTGACACACAGAACGGCAAACCGTTTTATAATGGTGTAAGAACATAAGCACTAAATCCTAAACTAACATCTTCATCACATAAATCCTAACCACTTCATCCTAAATGATCCCGTCCTCTTTACTGATGAGATTCGTTTCAGTCTAACAAACGATTCTCAGCGCCTCTTGATATGGAAAGAGGTTGGGATAAGCTTTCATCAGCTTTCATCATCTAAGACATAAGTTTCATCGCACTAACATAGCTAAGAGTCCAGTTAGGTGTCCTGTGTGCTTGGGCATGGGGATGGCATAGGGGGTGCATGACGACAATAAACGGACAGAGCTTCACATTCCGACAGAGCTTTATTAATCGGAAATCGTTATTGTGATAAAGTAACTTTTTTTCGGGGTGCCACTGGTCTCAACTTTTTTGTGGTTGGCGATGCATGAACGCAGAGGTTTCAAGCTCTTGAGAAGCTTTTAAAAGTAAAATATATTTACAGAATGGTCTGGCCAGTATCATTACCTGATTTAAGATCCAGTTAACAGGTGTGGGTTCAGGAAGACGCCAGATGACACGATCGTATCCTCCGAAGAATATCAGAATACTGAAACAGTTGTTCTGGAAATGGGAAATGGGAACTGTTCGACTCCGAAAATATCTAACCTAACATTTTCTTTTGAAGATGGGAACTCTTACCCGAGAACTATTAGATAATCTGGTGTTGAATATCATGTTTTTAAGTAAGAGGTCTTACTAAAGCTTTTTTGCTTCTTGTTCTGCTTTTGGCCAGACAGATTTTTATAACAACGCCATTCTGTCAATAAAGGCTTTTTTCTGTATTGTACGCAGGCTATTCATATTTTTGCTACTATACTTTTCTCATCTTTTTTTTTAATTACTATATTGCACCTCTGTAGAATGAATTGCAAGTCTCTCAGTTGATATTTTACAGAATAATAGCCAAAATCAGAAATGTTACATACGATTTCTCGTTAGTGTGTACATACATACACTTTTTATATGATTTTCATTTTCAAATTGTGGTATAATATATTAGTAGAATATATAGTCAAGTATTTTTATTACGTCATAAAAAGAAAATAAGTGATCATAAAGACACTTGAGGGAACACTGTGCTTAGAGCTCCACGCTATCTTCATCGGGTGTGCTTACGCACGGATTTTACCTGTTTAAACTTGTTACGTAATTATTCATCATTTGAGAAATGTAGCACTGCTGATCTGTAGCTAATTATGAGGATTATGAATTTGCTAAAGACAATGGTAGTTCAGTTTCTGAGATTCTATGTGAAGCTCTGCCTACACTTGAAGAGTATTTCTTTGATTTTAAAATGGCGATCAGTAAAATACTGAAATATAATCATATTTTTTATGTTTGTTACTTATTATTTGACTCGAATAATTTTAATTTTTGTGCTTAAGTATATTTTAATGTCTCAGTGTTTTTAGAAGTCATATTTTTTGTTTTTTTAGCAAAGCAGATTTTTAAATGTTATAGTATGTTTCTCATAAAACGCCTTAAGGAAATCGTGTAAAGTTTGTATCCTAAGTACTCTAATTATACATTTTAATCCTAATAAAGTTAAACTAATGATTCAGGGATCAAAAACGATTATTGAAAAAATATTTATTACATAAGTTCTTTGTGATACAGGATTTAAGCTACTTAATATGGAATTTTAAGGGTTTGTAGCACATTTAACATAAATTAAAATGTGAACATAATCACTAAGACTGAATAACAAAAGTTAATTGATAGGAAAAAAAGAAATAACTTATTTCCTTTTATAACTTCGTTGCTACATGATTATCAACAACTTCGAAAACTTCATTAATTCATTGGTGGTTTTCTGAGTCAACGTCTTTTGGCTAACTTTAAGGCTCATCAGAACTGTTCAATTTCCTAAATAATAATAAAAAGATGAACTGTAACGGTTTGAATATCTTTAAAACAAATTTTCGATTCACACACTAAAATTGTTTCTGCAGATTTTGACATAGCATTCTCACAGGTTTAATTGTTTAGGAAATACAATTTCATAAAAACAAAATTTTGTGCATTTTTTATAACTGTGTAAAATACTGTATTTCTGAAGATCTACCGATAAACTTCATAGTCATATTAAACTTTGTTGAAAATATACGTTAATGATAATAATTATAATAACTTGGGGAGGGGAGTGGCTACTAGTCAGCGAAATCACGGTTAAATACAAAGGGTATAAAATCCACATGTATTCAGAAATGCCCGAGGATGTCTCACTGCATATTGTCGCATATACAAGTATATACGAAATGCGTTTCAAATATATTAACATATGTTGAAACTGGAAATGTGGATATTAATAATATTGTGGTGTTGCGTGGCCCCACTTTGCCCGCAACAATAGTAGTGACTGCTATGAACTGGAAAGTACACAAACTCTTAAGAAGGGTTTAACTCCCTTTTTATTCCACTTTAGAAGTTACAGATGCGTTCACTTGACGCTCACAAACTACGCCGACCTGGCGTTAAATAAAATTAGAAAGTACAACAAAATGAATAATACCAAGTCACTACCTACGAGGCTCTCTAAATGACTAAGGAACCGCGTTCTAAGATACAGCTGAGATTTCAGCAACTTTCTGAATAAAAAGTTGAAAGATTAAACTAACTGCCGAAGCAAGCACACAGGCCGAAACGCGCGGTTCTTAAATTTATACCTAGCAGCCTTCACGCTCGTGAATCAAGAAAGCACACCTACAAACTCGTTTTCCTTCTAGTTAACTCAAAATACTTCTGCTGAAAATTTTAATACTTTGCGCGTTCTCCTAAAATTTACATACTCTGGCATTGGCAATTCCAGGTAAAGGAAGGCTTGACAGGAAAGATAGCTTAAACTTTAAATGTTAGAGTTAAAATAAATATAAACCCTACAATACAAAGGGCCTTTCTTTACTAATATTTTTAATTTCTTTACTAATATTATAGATGCTTATTTGATAAGGCATAATGCATTTTGATACTGAACTGATTATGCATTTTAACACTGAATTTACATTTTGATATGCTTCAGTAAACATAATTATTTTGGTACCCATTATCAAATCTTTCGACTTAAAATAATATTTCTTTATTATTAATATATTGGCATTTATTGTCATTATTATTTTATTAATAATATAAAGTGTCATTATTTCTTTTATTTTGTAACTTAAAACTTATTTATTTGGTTGAATTTAGTAATATGATTCTGAGCAGACTGATGGGGAATCTTTTCCTGTTTAAAAAATAGGATTTTAATTCAATTAAAATTCAAAGTTTCCTGTTTCTCTTCCATCCTTTGTCAATTTTATCTTTTAGGAATCAAAATCAAAACACTACATTCGTCAAAATCGATTTGTAAAGGAACTTAAACTCTCGATTTCGTCAGACATATTTAGTAGGTGTTGTCTTGATAAAAAGTGTTATCTGGCAGCTTTTTTTTTTTTTTTTTTTCAAGATAATGCATAGAGGAAACTAAACTAGGATTTTGATTGTAAATGTCATGCAAACCTAGACTGAAAAATAAACTGGTGATACAAGCTTAAACCTATGCTCATTCTGAAGCGTATCCATCTAATCAAGAAACTACTGGAAGCTGTCTGTTGTTTTGAAGGAAGACTGATGTTTTTCTGCATATAAATTGTAGGTATGTCTTTTTAGCATTATTATTTAAAAATAAATAATTATTGACATTTCTACCAACGTAAACCAACATATAATGTATTAACATCCAAAGTTTATAAATACATGTTTATATGAAGCTTGCCACATTTATCAATTGTCGCTAATTTTAATTAAATGTCCTGATCTGAGTCTTCATTTTTCAACAGCTTGCATACGTATAATCCCTTAAAGCTCTGATTTATTTCTTTATTTATTTATAAGTGACTCTTCCATTATATGTAAGTGACTGCATTATATGAAGTCCAGAAGTGCTCCCGGCTGAGAAAAATTTTCGCTCTTTTCCTGCTGCTGGTCGATATGTGCAGTTGAGCTTTGAAATGCAATTAGTATTCTAACGCTCATTTATTGAAATTGAAGCCTGTATTTTTATGGGTGTGATGTATTTTTAGACATAATGAATAGGATACATAAGTTTCACAAAAAAGTTTTTCCAGATTAAAATTTGATAATGATTAACTGATGAACTGCACAATTACCACAACCAGCAAAAATGCATAAAAATCTTGAAAATCTCAACTAACTCCTATCATTTGCGCTATCCTGTAACATAATATGTATTTATCATCATAACTAGTAAGCTGTCTGCTTTCTAATTTTAAGTCATTTTGAGGTATTTAATTGAAGCATTGTTAATTAGTATTCACTAATTTGAAATTTGAAGCATGAGTAATTAGTTTTGAACATCAGTCTTCTTCTAAAAATATTTTTGTGAGTTCATTATGGTCTTAAGAGCCAAAAAACAATCTTTAAAAAACAAATTAAAACTTGATAAAGAAGCTTGTTTAATGATCCACATGTTAGCGTTTCCAAATATTTTAACTCTTTGGATCCCAGAAAGTAATTTCCGTAAATTTAGGGGGACTCATACACCTTAAAAACCATAAGATTTTCTAATATGTGACTGTTGGAAGAATTGGGATAACTTATTTATTTTAAAAGCAATTACTTCCAGCTTTTTACAGCTGACTACATAATATACTAGCTGCTTTCCGAAATACTAATCAGAAAGCTTGTGTTGCCAAAGATATGTTTTATAATTTAATTCGCTTTGTGACAAAAGTTTTCGTCGTGTTTCCAACTTTCGCGCACAGTTTAAAACATTCTGTTTGCATAATTTAATTACATATTTAATATATAATATATAGCTTTTATAACATTCAAAAACTACTGTGAATAAAAAATTCTAAGAATTTCAGGTTAAATTTTTATTTTATTTGGAGTTGATTTTATTTAATGTATTTTATTAAAAAAATATGTAATGTTTTCCTGCATAAAATTTTTAATATTCAAATATTCATAAGATTTTTAGTTCAGTTTGAAAAATGTGCCCATATAACGAATTACATCAAATTTCAAGTATGCACCATCAGTCATTTTTAAAATATCATGCGTGCGAGGTGGAAACATGACGAAAAATTTTGTCACACAGCGGATTAAATTAGAAAAATATTTGGGGCAACAGAAACGTTCTGGTTACTAGTTCCCAAAGCAGCTATATTAGTTGTCAGCTGTAAAAGGTTGGATGTAATTACTTTTAAAATAAATAAAATATCCCAATTCTTGCAACAGTCACATATTCGAAGATCTTAAGGGGTTTAAGATGTATGAGCCCCCTTAATAATATTTGCAGGATTTCAGGCGAAGACGATGTAGGTTTCTGCGATATCTGGGAGCCTGCGTCAATGTTTGTAAATGGATAATGACTATGCGACGAGGGGGAAGTCTAAATATGCGGCAAGCCGAAAGTTTTCTAGAGAGATTCGTGGTAGGGGGAGAGACTCTCGTACCCGTCCCCCCAAAATGCTCTCCATCAAACTTGGAAGCGGGACTGAGCAAATTCGTAATGTCATCTGCATGGTGCTCAAGGCTCTTGCCAACGACAGGCTCAATCTTGAACTACTTGCCATGATGAATTTCGTAGGCTTGTTCTGATATTACTGTCAGAGAAGTGTGATAAGTACAACAACAATAGCGTATTTAAATATAATAATTTTGGATATGGATATCAATATTAATAGCTTTAAAGGTACACAGGAGAACTGCCTGGTAAGATCCAGTCAAAAGCGTTTCTTTCCATACAGTTTTAAAAATTTGAGTGTTATACAATTTTTTTTTTTTTTTTTTTTTTTTTTTTTGTAATTAGGATGTGCGAATTATTCTAAGCTACATGCTTAAGAAAAATAACTCGGTAGAGCTGGACCCACTGCTAAGCAAGCACTTTCTGCTTATCGCACTAAATTATTTTTAGAATAGTCTTGTAAAAATAGTTGTTCACTTAGTAGAGCCACATTTGCATATATTATGGGTTATGGACACCGAAGCATTCTGCGAAATCATTTTGCAGTAACTGAAGAAAGTTTTCAAAGATTCCGAAAAATGGTTTCCGTTTTCTATCATGAAAAATACGGTGGTCAACTTCAATACTGAAAACTGGGTTTCTAGCAAGAGAACTTAAAGAATAAAGCAGTTTCATAATATTTACTATACATCTCTGTCTAGAAAACATACAAAATTTTATAGAAATATTTTTAAACTCCCGTATCCAAAATGTTTTAAGTTTTGTAAAACGAAATGACAATTGATGCACAAAATTAGCAATATGAAAATTAAAACCTTCGTGATATAAAAACTAAACAGTTATCAAATAATATTTCCTTCATCTTAAGCAGTAGGAGAAATATTTTAATAACATTATAAAAATATACGAAATTTAAATAATTAACAATAATATTACGCATGTTAATGGAGAATCTAATTTATCTAAATTTGAATTTCCTCTTGTAGGTTTACTAAAGTACTTACATCCTCATTGCTATAAGATTTTATTATTTTATGTGTTGGTAATAATTAGTAATACTTGGACATCAAGCCACAGAAAAAAAGAAGTTAATTGGGGCTGAAGAATGTAATTGTAAATGTGTAGAACTGATAAGCTTGTGAATAACTGTGACGAGCATTTAATTGAAAGTGCGCAAAGCATAATATATTATTAATGATTGTGAGTGTGACTCCGCTGTGAGTGCGACTGTGAAGTCCGGAAACATGACAAAGCTTCAATTTTTAAGATAAGCATATTTTGCGGTATTTGTTAATTGAAAAATATAAGATCCTTCTCAACTCCAGGAAATATTTAAAAATTTATAACAAATAAACTGCCTAACATAAACCATATTTCATTATTCTAAAACAGAGTAATCTCAAAAGTTCTTTAAACATAATTCGCTAATTCTTAACGTGACCAACTTTGATAATGCGACAGATATCTATGCGCTCATGCAAATATTTATTTCGACGTAGTATAAAGCTGGCTGTGCCATAGTTGAATGAAAGCAAGTATAATTACCTCTTTCAAACGAGAGTGTTGCCCATTTAACAACTACAGAGATCTTTTTGAGAATATTTATGACAAAACCTCAATCAAACTTTGCTGCAAAGGACGCTATGAGAGTACAGAAACAAATATTTGTCTTAAAGGCGAAGAGGATACACTAAAACAATGTAATTCTTGACTTTTGTTTTAGGGAATTTAAGTGTTTGTACCTCCACTTTCAGCTATTCACCAGGAGCCATCAGAGTATTGGCCCCCATGCTGTAGCTCCGGACTGCCGTCATGTACTGCCTTGCGCATGGAAAGACACATTTTCCAGCATAAATGTCTCAGCGCATCATCACATATGGACACGATGAACATTTTAGAAACACGTAAAACAAACTTATTATTTCGATTTATACAGTAAGTTAAAATACAATATGGTATCGTTTATGCAATTTTTTGTTAGAAATATTATGAAATATTTCACGGGACGAAGAATAACTCTGTATTGTTGCCAAATACCCAACTGCGGTAAGATAGCTTCCCCGTAATAAGGGGTTAGGTTTGCCAGATTTGGCGCGAAATCATGCATTTGGCGACATTTGGCTACAACACTGGCGATATGCCATAAACGGAGTGAGAACATTCTAGAACGCATTCCTAGCAGTTTTCTCGATGTAAGCTCGTAGGTAGGTGAAGCTATATATAGCCTGCCTGTACGTGGAGAAAGGAGTATGTAGTTCAGAAGTAGTAATTTGAGTTCAGAGATTAGGCACTGAGAGCGACTGAACCGATTCGGGAGCTGTACCTTAGTACTTTGCCATGAAGCTGTTTTCACCATTTTATCCTAAAGCCTGTATTGCTGATTGCTTTAGAGAGTCTATCATAGTTTTTCGATAACTGAACACTCGTCTTTGGAACTCTCATGTGTAATACTGACAAATAAATTGTGTTTTGATTCTTCATCAAGTGTTATCGTAAATTACTCCACCAACCCGTTGTGTCTTGGTATATCTATGATATATAAAGTAAAGGGAAATGCGAAAAAGAACAGAAAACGTGTTTCCCTTTCTGTTTTCAATACATTTTCTTATAATTTTAAGGGAGCGAATGAAATAAAATCTTGCTAGCGGATAAACCATGAAACGTAGTTGCGGAAATTTCAAAAAAAAAAAAAAAAAAAAAGCGAAAAATAAAGATAATGGAATTCCTAAAATACTCTTTTTTTAAGGCCTTCTCTTTTATTTATTTATACTTTCCCTCTAGTTCGAAAATGTTATTTCCTTCAAAACTGACTTTGAATCCTATAAAAAAGGTACTGTAAGTATACTTCTGAAATATTTATTACCATCTTATTACTCTTGTGTTTATTCCCTTAAAACTTAGATATGTTTGCTTGAAATATGTAATTACATACAAAAAGTGCCGTAATAAAAGCCATTTGCTCCACATTTTTATTACTTTAGCCATTATCTTAACTATCTTGATGCAATAACGTTATTATCCGTCTCAAACAGGAAATTTTACTACTTAAATTATTGTTTGAAATGTAGATTTTCGTAAGATATCTTTTTGATGCAGACATTTTTCAACTTTCCGACGGTTACATCACTTTTTGAAGTCATAGGCATCATCCAGTCGCTGTGGCA